TCAAAAGGACACAGAATATTTGGGCAACAGCTACTGCGGCTTATTATGAAAATAAAACCTTGTTTGTTTCCTTCTCTTCCAAGAGTCGTCGCCGCAATGATAATCGTGTATATAAATCTGTTATTATCTCTTTTACTTAGACGTGGCGATGTTATCGTTGACAGGATCGTTTCACAGCTAAGCTCAACAAAGATAATTTATATTGACCGTTTTAATTATATTTTAATCTTACCTATTTTTATTTTATTTTATGGTTTTTTTATAGTTATGGCTACTTCCTAGTATTAATTTGAACTTCTTAATATTAGTCGGGTAACGGTCTTGTCAGCTATAATACTGCGAATAACATTCATGTCATTTTATTAAGGTCTTTAATTAATTCTTTTACTTGTAATGCGTTCGTTTTGTAAACCTTGAGTTTTTTTTTATATCACTGAAGAGAGTACATGATTGAACCGAAACATTTGATTATTTATATTGATTATTTATATTCATGTTCAATAAATATTGCTCTATCTCCTAATACAAGGAAGGTTTTACCCATATGGTACATAGCACTATTAATCTTGTGTTTGAACTCGAATTAGCCTTTTTTCCTATTATTTAAGTAATAATTTCAATAAAATCTATATGATAATAGTACTGTAAAAACGAATTGAGATTTGTAATATTTTTATTAAAGGTTTATGTGCCTGGAGAATTAATATTTTAAATTCATTTTTAGAAAAGTTATGAATTTATATATAACCTCATGTTTTTCTTTGTTTTCAATAAAGTGAAATATTTAAGTGAAAATTTACAATCCTTTCTTTACATAATTCTATTTTACATACTTAAAAGTGTATAATCATAATTTTTCATAAATTTTTATTAACACTTTTATTTATCACTTTTATTTTTAATTTAAATAAACAAAGATTAAAAGAAAATGGGGAGACCTCACTGTGATGATTAAGATATCAGGAAGATATGTGCCATACTGAGAGTTAAAAAACTAATTTTTTTTTATCATTTAGATACTCAACAGAGGCAAGCTAACATTCATGATGCTACAGCACAAGGTCGACCAGTTAGGAGAGCAGCTGGTGTTAGAAATACTAGGCATCGTATGCAAGGAAATATTAATCATCAACAGCATGAGGAGGACAACAGAATAGTCGAAGATAATGAAGATACGCATGACAAGATAGAAGTACCTGATTATAGGTTGGGAGCAAAGAAGAGAGCAAAGCTAGCAGCCAAGGCAGAGAAGAAGTTACAGCGAGAGGCAGCTGAACGAGACAGAGAAGAGCGTAAGAAACGAGAACAACTTGCTCAAGAGGAGAAGGATAAGCAGGCTGAGAGAGAACGTACAGAGCAATTGCGAACAGAAGAAGCTGAGAGAAAGGCTAGAGAGGAAAAGGAGAAAAGAGAGCACGAGGAATATTTGAAAATGAAAGAGGCATTTAGTATAGAAGAGGAAGGTTACCAGGACCAGAATAAAGAGGACGAAGAGAACTTATTGCAAGAATTTATCCAGTACATAAAACAGAATAAAGTGTTGGTTTTGGAGGATCTGGCCGCACATTTCGGCCTAAAGACGGTTAGTGTAGTAGAAAGAATTCAAGAATTGCAAACGAATGATAGGTTAACTGGAGTTATTGATGACAGAGGGAAATTTATTTATATTTCAGAGGATGAACTTCACGCGGTTGTTAGGTTTATACGACAACGTGGTAGAGTTAGTATCGCTGAATTGGTTGAGAACTCAAATAATTTAATTAATTTAGCACCTATAAAGAGCTGTAGCGTTTCTTCGTTCGTTAAATAATCGTTATGTTAAGTTAGGCATATATAGGTGTTTTCTTTAGTACTGCCCAATATTTTAGTTGATTTTTAAGATTTTATGAAAAAGGGCAGATGAATGTATGATCTCAAGGGTCTCGTTTCAGAGATACAGGATGTTAAAAATTCTACATTGAAACTTATGAACTAATGGTTTTTCTGTCAACAATATTTTTTTAGTTAATAAAATAATAGTCCGCAGAAAATTTAATCCTGTTTATTGACGTACAACTGAAGAAAAATATAAGCATATAATACTTAACTCTCCGTAACTATTGTATGAACGCGGCACTTAAAAATTTTCATTTACAAACTATGTAAGTATGACATAGAATTTCGCCTTGAAACTTCGTGATTTTTTATATATAACATTCTAGATTATATTATTCTCAAACATTTTTTTATTACATTTTGATCAAATTTTTAAATAATACATTTTAAAAAAGTTCGCGTCGATAAATCTGAGTGCGTTGCTCGGACGAGATGATTAGCACGATGGACATATCCTCCTGCGTCCGCACAGAAGCATTGTTGCCGGATTTATTTTTCAAGTATTTCAAACAATTATAAATTATAATTTTTTAAAATTTTTATCTCTATTTTATTTGGTTGTATTTATAATTTTGCTGTAAACGTTTAGACTTATTCACATCCCTTATAGAAATGTAATACTGATAAGTAATAATTTGGCCAGTGATAATTATTGAACGACAGTAATTATCACTGGCCAAATTATTACTTATCAGTATTACATTTCTATAAGGGATATACAGAGTGTCCCGCATAAGACGTACTAAAAAAAATATATATAAGCAGAACAGATAAAAGTGAACAAATATTGTAGAAGTTATTTTTCAAACAATCACGTAAAATTTAGAGATATTAAGGGGATGTTGAAGCTGAAAACTTTACCGACAGAACACTAACATTTTTCTGCAAAGTTTCCCATACAGCACAGCAACATTGCAGCATCATTGTTTTGCAATATTGTGACATTGTAACAACGTTGCAAAATGTTGCTGCAATACTACTGCAACGTTGTAGCAACGGTAAAATGTTTGTTTCCCTTATAGAAATATCATACTAAGAATCATTGATAATTACTTATTATCCAGTATTTTTAATACTGAAAATAAGTAATTATCAATGATTCTTAGTATGATATTTCTATAAGGGTATTGCATGACGGTTAAATCGTTCAGATTTAATGATATAATAACATTAAAAAAAGTAATATGAGAAATTTTATGAAAAATTATGAGAACAATTTTTACCAAGGATGGCATATATACGCCTTTAAATGGCCATTTAACCGTTGTACTATTCTATACTTATACTCGTTATTTCTCTATTATTGCTTTTTTATCAAAAATGTGTAATACAATTTTAAAAAATAAAAATTGTTTTTTATTGTTATATATGTACAATTATATGTGTACAATTATTGCACAATATAATTATTCTGACTTCTCTCGAAGTTTTACATGGGCTGCATTCCGAAATTCACTGTCAGTACTGAAATTCTATAGTATACGTGACACGAATTATAGATTTTCAGTACTCGCAGTGAATTTCGAAACGCAACCATGGTATGTATGTGAAAATGCTCCATTTAATAGCGTACATATGGCCTTTGATAGAACTATCTAGGAAACAGAATCTGCGCGTAATCTGCCGTCAGTCTGTCGTCAGAGTCTATCGACAGGCTCTGCGTGCAATCTGTCACCAATCTGTCGTCAGAATAGATTCTACATGCAAGCTGTTGCTATTCTGTTTACAGACACTGGGTGCTTTTCAGTTGCGTACACTCCGTTACACAAAACCAGTTTATTGGTTGCATATTATCTTACAAGATATTTTAGATAATATGTAACCAATAAACTGGTTTTATGTACGAGTGTGCCAAGATGTGTTAAGCAATTGCAAAGCACCCATTGACAGACTCTACGCAAAATCTGCTCACGCAGGTTTGGTTGCGGTATCTGGGTAATATTATCAACATATTGTTTTATTATACAAAGTAAAATCTCAGATAACACCCTTACAGGAATATTATACCAATAAATACTAAAAAATTATTAGTGATTATGTATTACCAGTAATTCAGTAGTTTTTTTCGTCAGTACTTATAGCGTGTTCGATTGGCCCTGGGTTAATCGCTCCGAAAGCGATTAATAACGTCATAAGCCTCTACTAGCCAATCATAAAGCTTATAAGTGCTTGTTCCAATAAATGTAGGCTGAATAACCCAGAGTGGATTAACCTTTAACTATATAACCATGGACCACTAGCGGCGATTCTAAGCGTCTGTCAACATCTGTAACGCCGCCAGAACCAAATAACGGCAAAAGAAGGAATTCAGTAGAGCAAAACAGAGTTAGTAACGTAAACGCTTCCAATATCCGCGTATCACATGGTGATACATATTGGAAAAACCTAATAGAAGTAATAAAAAAAATTAGACTTTCTTGAAAACCAAAAATACTTTATAACAAAATTAATTATAGAAAATTATGTTAAAATTATTATGAATTATGTATTGTATGAATTGTTATGAATTATGTATTGTATGAATTATGAAGGAAAATTAATAAGCCAAAATTGTCAATATATCAGACATAAATTGACAAAAATTATTTTATTACAAGTACAATAATATATCATTATTTAGAGTAACTTTTATATCGCTGATATGAAAATTCTACCTTTATTCGTTTAATGATACCACATGTTTTTGTAAGCCGTTGCAAATTGTTCAAAGTTATTCCGGTGTTCCAAGTTACCTCAAAGGACGGTATTTTAAATAATGTTTTAAAAAATGTTGAACGTTCTTTTTATAATATTACATATATATTATATAAACATTCTTTTATATATATATATATATATATATATATATATATATATATATATATATATATATATATATATATATATATATATATATA